TCTCTGCTTCCACACCTGAATCAAATGAGTATTTAGCCTCCTCAATTAAATTAAATTTCACAATTTTCTTAAACATTTTTTACTCCTTTTTTTAAGAGATGTGCGTTTAACTGAAAAAAAAAAAAAAAAAACTTAAGATGCTTTCAGTCTAGAAACCAATACAGATAAGCATATTTGAGACCTGAAATATAAAAGAACATCAGATAAGGGAAAGCAGATCAGCATCTTTACCTCCATGGATCTCACATGCTCTTTGACAACAATTTAAAAAACTCTATTTAGAGTCACTGCAGCTTCAATTTAAGCTTCTTTACTTCTTTGCAGCAGCAGTAGAACAGTTTTTCAGTAATACCTGTCAATACTAATAATATGAGATTGTCTCCAGCAACAGAAAATGTTATCTACCATCAGTGGCAAGAGGATGAGGAGGACTCTTTGCTTGCTCAAAGCAGTTTTTAGCTATATAATGCTGCAAATAGCTTGGATACTGACACATAGTAGCAGCTTTCAAATGGGGAAACAGTGAAATCAATAAAACCCTGCAAAGCTAAGGGCACCAACACAACACAAATACTGCTACAGCGATGCTGAAGATGGATACCATTAAAAATACCCACATAAACAGTGGTATGTTGGAACGCATACATACATACATAGAATAATTATTATTGATCAAGCCACCATTTTTTTGCTTTTTACAAAGCAATCAAACCATAGATGTCCAGATCAATTAAAGTCAGTTATGCGTAATCATGTGCAATGGCACAGGGAATAAGTATTGAACACACTTACTGAAATTTATTTAATACTTTGTAGAAAAGCTTTTATTGGCAATGACAGCTTCAAGACGCCTCCTGTATGGAGAAATTACTTGCATGAATTTCCCAGGTGTGATTTTGGCCCATTCATCCACACAAAGTCTGATCTTTAGTTTTTTCGCAGTGTTGTTTTGAAAGCCATCTTAGATTTAGTCTTAGTCTTCGTCTTCAGGACCAAAACTATTATTAGTTTTGGTCACATTTTGTTATGATTTTGGCCCATCTGCCTGCTCTGCTCTGCCTGTGAACAATCAACTCCAGCTTCTGCCTGCTGCACTACAGTGCAATCAGCAGCATGTCTCTCAGCTGTTATAAGTCAGCCTGTGGCAGGCAGACGGGGCCAGATAATTGCAACCAACAAGCAAGTAGTATCCAGCACTTCACGTTGACTTGACCAAGTTCTTGACCACATCTTCGCTTCACGGATTTTCCCTTGTGCCTAACCCTCGTCGGATTTCTCTGCCTTCTTGACAATTACCCTGTTTCTACCCCTTGACTTCTGCATCCTGCCAAGCCCCCTGATCATTAAACCTGAGTCTGGCTTCCAGGACCTTGATCCCGCCTCTTTGCTCCACGTCATTCAACTGTTGGCCACCCAACAACTGTTAAAGGAGCAGCCCGCTCTGTTAAAGCTGCCGGTCCCCGCTGAAGGGAGGATTCTGAAAAGTTATCCCTTGTTCTCAGTGGATGTGCTCCTGAAGTCCTGAGTTCAGAATAAATGGTTTAAATTCTAGTCCTGTGTTTCTGGCTGAAAATTTGGATCTTCTGTCTAGATCATTAACCATTTTAGTCGTTACTATATATGATAGTTTTAGTCAGTTTTAGTCGACTAAACCTAAAAAAGGTTTTAGTCTAGTTTTAGTCAGTTTAATGCTACACTTAAAAAAACAACTAACCTTTACAATTTCAAATAACGAGATTCTTTACCAGACTGTCAGCTCTTGTCTAGATACCACAATTGCTGGAGATACAATGCTGCCGTGCAGTTCATCATTGCTGTTGGGCAGAAAACTTTAATTTATAGAATGGAAAAACCTTTAGGAATTAATGCTTTACTTAATACAAAAGTGTATCAAAAAAAGGTGGGAAAATAGCAGATCTAGTTCAACACATCATATTGGTTAATATAGCACACAAGCTAACAAAATTTACAATAAAGGAATGGTTTTAAATATTTGCTTTGAATATAATTTAGGGATTCCGAGTGGTAAAAATTACAGAAGGTTTTGCATCACCTCTTGTGAGCTGGAAAAAAAATAATTATGATAGTTTTTATGCTTGGCAGAGGATGATCAGCTAAATAGTTTATTAAGTAGCGAGAGCAGGAAGAGCCTTACTGCTAAGAGCAGACCATCATTGTGGAGCGTAAAGCGCAGACTCTGAGCAACGTGCGTGCAAAGATGCATATCTGTACAAGCACAGCTGGAAGAACAGAGTTTGTCAGAGTTGAGCGCGCAGTACCGGACCATTCCAGACTACTTTTACCCCCTCCACTGCTGCCATTGTCCATCTGTGGCTATGCAGGATGCCAGGTGGTGGGAGAAACCAAACAGGATGCTGCAGCACAGCTGATACTGCTTAGTTTGTTTAACAGTTTACAGCACAATGATGCATTTTAAATGCCTGCTAGTCCACCCGCTAACTATTTTATTTCTCGTCAACAAAAACTCACACTAATGACTGTTAATGTTTTCATCATTAAAAATCCATCTCTAGCTCATCAGTTTTCGTTATCGTCATGAAAAAAGGAGCGTCTATGACAGGGGTCTGCAACCTTTCATATCCAAAGAGCCATTTTGCTTCAAGTACGACCAAGTCGTAGTTTCTTTGGAGCCGCAAAATATAACAACACTTTACAAAAAAAACTAAAAATCTATTTATTCTTTTTAAAATAATATTAATACACATAATTCCTACATTAATTCAAAGAAACATTGCTCTTAAAACAGATTTCTGGTTCTTTTAATATCATTCATTAATTTTGGTATTCATTACATTATTTAGCTCTTTGTATACATTTTAAGAGCCGCTGGAGATGATCCAAAGAGCCACATGTGGCTCTGGAGCCGCAAGTTGCAGACCCCTGGTCTATGAGATAATTTCATCATCGTCATCGTTGACGAAAACAACACTTTACTTTCAATAGATTTTTCTATTTGATTCAAGTCAGGTGATTGGCTGGACCATGCCACGATGTTCCCACCTCCAAACTTCACTGTTGGTATGGTGTTTTTGTGATGATGTGCAGTGCCATTTGACCTCCAAACATGATGTGTATTATGGCATCCAAAGAGATTTGGTCTCATCTGACCAGACTAAATTCTCCTAGGTGTATCTAAATGTTGGGCAGCAAAATATAAACAAGTTTCAACATGCTTGAGTGTGCATACAGTTCATGGTGGTTGAATGAGTTACTTATTGTATTCTTTGAAACAATTGTAATTCCAGGTCTTTCTGAAGTTCTCCACAAGTAGTCTTTGGCTCTTGGACAACTCTTCTGATGATTTTTTTCACTCCTCTGTCAGAAATCTTGAGGGGAGCACCTGGTCCTGGTCTGTTTATGGTAAAATGATGTTGTTTCCACTTCCAGATTATTGCCATATTGAACATTCAGAAGTTTAGATATCCTTCTGTAACAAATACCATCATTAAGGTTGCAAAGGTCTTGAGAAAGCTCTTTACTTTCACCCATCATGAGTTGTTTTTTGTTTGATGCCAGGGATACCTTTATATAGGCCATCATTTGTGACTGAACCAGCTGATATATTATTGCTTCCTAATTACCGAGAAATTTCAGCTGGTTTAATGGCTTTCCATGCCTTTTTGCACCTCATTTTCTTTGCGTGTTCAATACTTTTCCCCCTGTGCTATTCCACATTAGTACATCTAACTTCATTTCTGGATATCTCTGAATTAATTTCTTTGTATGTGTGGATTGCATGGATTGTTAAAGAAATCTGCTAAAAATGTCATGTTAATAGCAGCTGTAGAAATATATTTACTGAGTAAAACAGGTTACAGGAGTTACCCATAAATATATTTTTATTTTCCTATTTTATTTTTCCTCTGTAATGTGAGAGTTTTCCTTATATATATCTAGTGTAACATTACACTGCATTACAATTGTCAGCTCCTGGCTTCTTGTGGTTTTTAGTATGTTCTCTTTGCCAGTGAGGGTTTGCCATAATAGTTAGGTGTGTTTATTTTTTACCAGTTGTTTACTAGCTCATTTTAGAGTGGTTTGTCTCTATTTTCTTTAGTCCTTATTTCTACATGCTTGGTTCTCTTAGTTCATTCCTCACATCTTTCCCTTTTTAATAAATCCTCCCTTAGCCAAAGCCTTCTGTAAATTAGTAGATTTCATCCACCTGTATCTCCACATTTTGCCACTTGTTTGCGGGTGTTTTCCTCATTACTTATAGCCTTAAGTTGGCTGTCAGCATTCATCTGGTACACAGTTATTCTTTCTGTCTACACAATGGCAGTCTCAAAACTTACTATGCTGCTCCGGAGTTTGAGTCTGCCTTTTGGTCCAGAACGTCAGATAACAGTTTTATTTTAACAATTTTTTTTTTATTAATATTCATTTCTTTAGCTGATTTAATTAGTCAAGTGTTTTACATTTTATATTCTGTTAGATACGGAAGTAAAACTTTAATAAAAAGGTAAAATATGTTTCCCTTAGATTTAATGTTTATCCAGTGTAACGGAACAGACTTGAGGTGTTCAATCTGCCTAAATTTAACACAATATTTAGTTAGGCTTATTTAACTTTTTATTTGGTTCAAGCTATTTTTTATTTTGTGAATTAATTGTTCTTATCGACTGTGTATGCAATGCTTTCCCACTGTTTTCACCCCAGTGACCACAGGAAGCTTATAGGGTCCAAATAGTGTCCCTGCCTTTAATATCGATGAGCAGTGAGTGGGAGTTTAAAATGTCTTCACTGCAGCTGGGTTTGTCTTTCCTTTTTACCTTCCTGTTTGTAACAAGAGCAAATATTTATTGACATTTAAACAAACTCAGTGAAATAAATACCACTGTTTATGCTTGGTCATCAGAACTTTGTCTTTTAAAAATTTGATTATTCACATTTATCTCAGTTCAAAGCAACATCTTCAAATACAGCTATAGATTAAGTTCTGCCCACTCATTGGTTAGGTAAACCTCTTTGCTTCTAACCTGACGTATGTGTCGTTTGGTGAGATGGACTCCTGGAAAAACTGGAACTGGTAAAGGTAAAGCACCACAAGATGTCCGGCACTGAAGATGGCCATCAGGACACACATGCAGCTGAATATGAGGGTGTTAAAGGTCCGGCAAAGAGACCACCAGGTGCACAGGAACAGGAAGATGGAGAAGTAAACAAAAGAAGTCAGCGAGGGAAGCATGATCCCTGTAAACACAAAAGCAAAGGAAACAGCAGATTAATTGAAGAAAACGAAAATTCCAAATACATTGTACATTCTCACTACATAAGAATTAAATGACTGAAAGTTTGCTTTTTAGCTTTGTTGTTGATCTGGAAATCAGTTGCTGAGATATAGGGAGCAATGAAAGTATGTAATTCTGATGAAGTTAGGATTGGGTTTTCTTAAACACTTAATAGATAAAGGGAGAAATAAATCCAGATGCATGTTCGATACCAATTTCTGTTTTTTTTTTTTTTCTTATTTTCTGTTTTGGTCCCACTTCCAATTTCCAGTTTCTTTCCATTTAAAACATTTTTCTCAAAAGACTTTAACAATTAAAAACAGTTTTAAAAAATAACAAAATGTGCTGAATTTTTTTATTCTAACAGGAAATTACAATTTTCAAGATTGTCTTCAAATGCAAATGCCCCTAAATTTAAGCAATTTTTCCTGGACTTAAGAAGTAGTCACGTCTCTAAAAACTAAAGAGCTGTGATATTATTATGAATGCTTGTTTGATCCTTGACTTATTTCTCCTTTACATTTCCTCATGCCAATATTTCTTCTTACCATCTTCTAGACTGTTTAACAGGACAGTGAAATATTATTTATAAAATATTTTCATTCATTTTTATTCTTTTCAGGATCAAAACAGGAAGATTGACCTCTTGCCATTAAACCTTCATTTTAAGCAACAGAGCTCTCTTAAGAAATTTGGTCCTGAATTCAGGGTTAAGATCTCATTGTTGATCATCAGTTCATATAAAATGAATTTCATAAAAGAGGCGGCTATAAAGTACTGCCTTACTTAACAAGTCTGTGCAGCATCTCAAACCAGAACAGATAGAGAATTTTGATAGGTCTATATTAAAAACATAAAATTGAAAATGCAGCACAAAAGGCTGTTGGATTGTTTTATATGCCTGTTGAAGCAGTGAGAGGTTATTCTAAGGGAGATATCTGAGAAATGTATTGATGTTTTCATTTTACTTTTATTTTCATAAAGAGGGGAAAAGACTAGATGTGCTTACCTGCACTGTCTGCCCCTTGTTATTTTGTTTTTTGTTAGGCTCAAAAAGGATTGCTATTTTACTTCATCTGTTTTCCTGAAGATTATGTTTTCTTTTTGAGGAGTGATTAACTGCGTTTTCTATCCCTCATTTTTGCAAGGCTCAAAGAGGATAACTACTTTATCCATTCTCTGTTCTTCTGAACTTTTATCATGGGTAAAGTATTATATTTTTTATGTTTTATTGATTGTTTTTGCACAAGTCTGTCCTTCTTGCTATATATGCTCTCTGTGACTCCAAACCTGACTGTTTCCCCGTGCGATTAACAGATATTATTTTGCATTTTCCCCCAAAGCTGATGTGCTTACCTTGTATCCGTGTCTCTCTTCCTGTTAGACTCATGAAATTGCAGCTGAATTGCTGCTTAGTCACACTTAAATAGACCTGGGCTCTATCTAATTAGGAGGCCCCCTTGCAGAAAATCCTGTCAGTTGTGATAATTTCAACTGACTTTTAAAGAGTGCTAAATGCTACAACCTCATCCAACACGATTTTCTGTCAAAATGGATGCAACATCTGATTTGGTGAGTTAGGGGCTAAACAGAGGTTTAATATCAACATACTGCACTTTGTTTATATGTAAAGGTCATTCATTCGCAATATCAACTCTTTATGGGTTTTTTAAAAGTATTATTTCTGCATATTTCTGGTCTCTCTGTTAGTTGCATCATGACTGAGACTTGGTCTAAAATTAACGTGTTGGTTACATTCTTTAATGTTTTTTAACAATCAATCTCTAAACAGGAGTGACAGTATGCTGAAAGTCAGCAGTATGGGGGTTGTTGATCAGTCTGTCTGTCTGATCAGAATGTAGGTATGAATAGAGGTATGGAACAACCATGTCTATACCTTTGAACAGATATTTGTCGACAAGAAACTGGTGATGAAGTCACGTGATCTATTCCGATCAATTGTTATGCCTGGATGGCTTTATTCTACTAGCACTTATAAAAAAAAAAAGTCTTGTTCTAAGTGTGTCAGCTCCTCTTCATATTTTTACAGCTGAAAAATCTTTTTTGGAAAAAAATACAAACAACTGACAAAAACTGTATCAATTTTCCTTTCCAGATGAGAGGCACGACATAATAATTGTGCTCAGGGCATTTAAATGGCTAGCAATGTGCCCGATCTTACCTTTTATTTTATTTTTTCCTACCGTATTTTTCAGTCCTTTGAAATGGCACTGGCCACATGAATGCACAAAAACCATTTAGTGTTGAAGGGATGGGTGTCTTTTGATGGAAGTTTTATTCAACTTGCTTGCTGAAAGAAAAGTTCTGGTATGTTGATAGGCAAAATTTATGTCTATTTTTTCATTGCAGTGTTATCCACTAAACCAGCAAATATTTGCACCTATCACTTGTCTAATGGTTTTTTGTGCATTGTACTGTAAAAGGAGTCGCAATTTGTAAAAGCAGTGCCCGTATGGTAGATCTGATCATTACATGGAGAAGATGCAGGCAGAGGAGAAGCAGAATAATATTACAGTTTGTAACCTTTGTCGGTAATATTCCCAGCAGTGGGTTTGTAATCTGAGCTCCTGCCCTGACCAGAGATTATTTCTCCTCTGTGCAAGGTCCCTTCAGTGAACTGATACCAAAAGAATAAAGCGCCCCTTGAAACTATGGGATTCACTGCTTTCCTGTGATGAAATGTCTGCAAACACACTAGTCTATCTGCATATGTGCTCCAATCTGATGCTTAATTCAAAGATGTCGGTATCTCCCATGTGCTTACCTCAAATACGTAACTTATGTCCTGACATGCATAAAAAAGGAAGCGGTGCAGCCAGACAAAGCCGAGATATGCAGATGCAGGCTGGCTCAGAAAAGAGGCTGAGTTTAAATATTGAATTTATCATTTTAAAACTTCTGTCATTTGTAACACTAAGTGGCTTCTTTTTATTTTCAACTTGCACATTTTGCAATGGAACAGAAATCACTTTTTTCTTAGAAGATGTTTTTTCCCCCCTTTTTCTTTTTTATTTGGGCTATGCTAACTTTTTTTTTTACATTACTTATAGCACATAAAATTGAATTATTTAATCACACTGACTTGGTTTGTAAGTGAAATAAAAAAGTAACTGTTATTTTAAAGTTGTAGATTTGCATTAACTAAAAATATAAACTACTACAGAAGAACAAGTTTTCTTTAAAGTGAATAACACATTTAATCATAGCAATCAATAAAAAAATGAATCATAGTAATTCAGAATCAGCTCAAATAAAGTTTTACTTCACAGTAAGGTTTTCTGGATACTGGATCTTTTCCATCTTTTAACTAAACTCATAGCTTGCTCAGAGGTTATAAAGATCAGCATGATCGCGAGTCAGGAGACATCAATTCCCATGTTATTAGAAATACATACCATGACAAAATTGGCGAGTTGATAAAGAGAAAAATGAGCCCTCATGGTAAAACATAAAAACACCTGGCGCCTCACTCTAAAACCCTAGTTTGAAGATGTTTAATTTTTAATACAATCAAACAACATTTTTATCAAAAGATGAAGGCTAACTCTAGTTTAAATTTGTTGTTGAAATTGATTGAAGCAATTAATTTGAATAGGTCTCTTGATATAGTGTGTATGATGAAAAAGGTAACAATATGTGTATAATCTTTCAGCAATGGCCTGACGTGCCATTTCCCTGCTTTTATTGATGGCAAAAGTAGTTTCGTTTTTATTTAATTATAAATTACTTCTCTGAGCTTTTTATTTTAAACATCTTAGCATATCAACATGAAGAGAATGACTTCAGCTGGATAAATTTCAATGTTTTTGAATAGGTTAGACAGAGTCCAAGACTAAATCAAATCAGACCATTTGAAAAGGGTTGTGGATAAGAGGTCTGCAAGGCAGCATGAGGAAATATTGCAAGGTTAAGATGAAAAGTCTACAAGCAAAACAGACTGAATGCTAACACAGCCAGGTTATAGTTTCTTTTTAGTTTTTGTGCTTCTTTCCTGATTTGCCTTCCGTTTGATTGATAAAGAAAGTGTACCTTATTAGATGGAGTCTCTGTTTTCTTCTAAAAATGTCACAAACTCATCGGATCCACCATATTCTGTTTTATCCAAAGTTTGGTTTGAAACAAAACTAAAAGAAGAGATAAGACCAAACTTATTGGCTACAAAAAGAAAAAAACTACTGAAGCTTAAGGCTGTTAAAATGCTCAGTTATACTGTCCATGTTGTTAAATGGACTGTGTACTTTATACTACTCTGTGTAACATTCTGGTTATTCCAGTAATAGAGTTGGTCTGATGAAACCGAACCAATGTCCCAGTAAAGGTTTAATATTTTCAATTATGTTTCACAATAAAATGTTATGTATTAGTGTTGCTGGGAAATCCTTGCCATAAATCCAGGAGTTCAGGTAGGAAGAGAGAAAGTTTCACCTGTCATGCCCAGCAGGATGGTGACCACCACTTTCCCTGCAGTGGTGATCAGATTCCCAATGATCTCCTTCACTTTCGAAGCCACTTCTGCCACCATTCGCAGGATCTTCATCTTAGTACTTTCTTTTGCCTCTTCCTCCTCCTCCTCCTCTTCATCCTCCTCATCTTCATCAAAAAGCTCCTCGTTCTCCTCATCCTCCCCTGCCTCATAACCTGCCTCCAGGTCGTCCTCCAGCAGGACATCGTCATCATATGGACTCGGCTTCTCCTCGTCCTCCTTACAGGTAAATAACAAAAGAGTTAGAAATCAGAGCTCTCCATGGTGCTGAAAACTGTTTTATACAGGTAATGATAGAATAAAAATCTGTGAGTATCATCTGAGTTTATTTTAGCGGATTCGAGCATAAATCTGTCAAGCAAGAAACAACAAGCAAAGCAGTGTTTATAGAAGGAGTTTTCCTCTGCAACCAGATGTTGGCCTGTTTTGTTTTTCCTTGGCTGTGGTATTTGCATAAAGTGTTTCTACTCTTCTATAATGTCTGCATAAGGCAAACACCAGCTGGTAAATTCAATACATAAAGAACCCGACAGACAAATGAAACAGGTAATATAAATTCAGTTTTAGTCAAAACATAAACCACAAAAGCCTGTAGAGATAAACTTCCCTGGTGTTTTTCCCAGCATGAGACAGAAGGAGAGAAATGCCATCTGTGCCAGTCGGAGCACACAGAGCGGATAAATGTGGACTTAATTAAGACTGAGTCATGAAAAGTGATGGCAGAGACTTGCCAGACATGATGGGAGGCTGCTTTCTAAGCCATCAACTCTCACACAAAAGTTATACTCAATTCTCGATTTCGAGGCTCATCCAGAGCGGTGAAAACAGTCTGCTTTCCTCCTGGCTTTAGCTATCAGTTGAATGGAGCATTAAAATAATGATTAGACATTATCAACCAAGCAGTTTTTCTTTGTGCACATAAAGCCTCAAATGGTGCATGTGTTGTGATTGTTAGTAGACCAGAAGAGCTTCATATAAAAGTGAATAAACATGGTGGCAAAATAACCCCTGTTGTAGCTTTCAAGTAGAAAAAGCCATAGCCAATCATAGTAAAATTGATTAATCGATTAACTAAATTATGGGGCTATACAATATTAGATGGAAAAGTAGCCTATCACTTTCTCTGGAGAATAAATCACCATAATGACACCAGTGCATTTCAGTACATTGGGATATAATCAGAAAAAAATTTGTTTACACAAAATAGTGTGAGCTTCAATGAAAGGAAAACAGTGGATTGAACACATTTTGGAGTAATTATGGATTCCGATTTTACACCAGATAAACAGATCAGCCTTGTTTAGCACCAAAGTTTCCTCAACTTATGGCAAGTAGAAAACCTTAAGCCTCTTTAATCGACGTACTAGTCAGAGAGACAAACCCATGATTTAATCTCAAATATTCTTACTTGCAAAGAGACATGAATCCATCTTACCTTCTTCATTTGCTCCTTTTTTTTGTAAGTCATTCCAGCTGGTGAGTAATACAGTTTTGAGTTCAAACACTGGTAGTGTTAAAAAACTCTGTGAGAGTTGTATGTCAAGCTAGGATAATGTAAACACCTCTAATTGAGTTACAGACACTCCGGCTGGAGTTGATTAGAGCATCCAGTCTTGAAGTTCACACCTTATGTAGTATAGACCAGTTAAATCTATTAATGAGCATTAAGAGGATTTGTAACTTGGAAAGAGCGAGTTTTTCATGTCAAATTTCAGTAGCCTTCCCAGTGTCTACAAACAGTTCCACATTTGCCGACTCGAATCTTGTACCATAGTGACTTCTCTCTGTGATATAGTGGCCATAATGTAGCTTAGCAATAGCATTTTTTTTTTGCACATCTCTGGAGTTGCTGCTATTTTTCACATATCCATTAAAATGTCCACAGCTGTTATTGATTTTTTTATCATCCAGATAAAGAGTGTCTAACCACATTGTGTGTCCACTTCTACTATAACCTTTGCTGCTGTAAACACCACAATTTTCACATTGTGGGACAATAAAAGGATTTTCTATTCTATTCTATCAGTACGTGAATTAATGTGTGTAGAGCTTTGGAGTCCCTGGAATTGATATAATTAACTGAAATTGTACTTTTAACTTTTAAATAATTAATGTTAACACATTATTGGAATTGTATGATTCTTTTGTGGAGAGTCATCTTAATTTCCAATTAACACCTATGTTGAAGAGGAATAACGTTATATCAAGTTCAAAATGCACTTATGTGGTGTCATCAAACAACACAGTGTGAAATATTTAACACAATATTTTGAGGTTGAAATATTAACACTTTAGATTTAAAAAAGCGTTAAATTTAACACACTGAGTTGCATTAACCTTCCTGATTTTACTGTGTGTCATCATTGTTAGTTACTTCATCTGCTTCATTCCTCTTTTTTAAAAAAGCGTTAAATTTAACACTGAGTTGCATTAACCTTCCTGATTTTACTGTGTGTCATCATTGTTAGTTACTTCATCTGCTTCATTCCTCTTTAACACCCAGATCTACTCTGGCTTTATATTTCCTTAGATCAAATGAGCAGCTGCTTTTTAAGTTGTCACAAAGACTAGATGAATAGATACGATTTATCTTTTCTGTTTCTTTTTCTAAAATACTTTTAAAACACATAACTTTTATATCACTTTTTTTACCAGTGTGTTCTATATTATAAATGTTTTTTATTGCTGTTGGATATCTTGTCTTCATTTTCTATTTATTTATCATGCTATGTAGAGCACTTTGGCAAACCTGCCTGTTTAAATGCCTTTTATAAATTGTATTTGAATTTCAGATGTTTCAGTTATTAGTAAAACCAATTAATATGATTTTATCTAAACACATTTTATTTAATAAAACATATCAAATGGGAAGACCGCTAACTTCACAGTAATTCCAGCAGACACTTCCTGACACCATCTATACATTTAAGCTTAAAATGGTTATTGATATTTTAGAACTGAATGAAAGCAACCTGAAGGTGAAAAACTCAGTTTTTTTTTTTTTTTTTTTTTTTTTTTTTTCTGAGACTTGGTTTTATTAAAATTAGGTGGTTTAAGGGAGCCCAGACATATTTCTTTACAGCAAGATGTCAGGATCCCTTCCCACAATGGTTATATATTCCCTCCAGCAGGTGCTCAGAAAACTTCCGAAGGCTCACAGGAGTAATCTATAAGCAAAGGTAAAATCACAGCCTCAAGAGGAGGCAATGCTGCTTAAGGGTTCACCTCAGCTGGAATCAATGGTTTAAGTGCCAAAATAGATAGATATGTATCCAGGGCAGGAGCTAAAACTCTCCTATTTATTGTGTTTGGCCTCTCCCCTTATCTAGATACAAAAGGGAAAGGCCTGAATTTAGAAGAAAAGGACTTAAGCTCTATTGTTTTGAGTCCTCTTTTCAAACCAAAGTATATTTTGCATTTTATTCATAAATCAAACATCCCAGAGTGTGGAGGATGAGTGGAGAGGTACATAATCCACTTTGCTTAACCTTAATTGTTTGGCTTCTACCCAGTAATGATTGATATCATCTAATGATCTTTGTTTTATTTTTTTCTGAGGATTTTTCTGAGAAAACAGATTGCCACAGGGCTAAAACTCTTACATTGTAGGCCTTTTAAAATTATCTCAACACATAAAAAAAAAGATTTTAGAAGGGATAAAAGGGCTTACATCGGACTACTGGAACTGCCGACCTTTGACTGTTACAATTATTAATAAATAAAATGTTGAAATCGATTGATGGTTAAAAACAAAAAATTTATGTAACAGTGATGCTTAACATTTTTTTTTCCCCAAATCTAAGTCCCAATTCTTTAACTGATTAAACAAACAACTTTCTCATCAAATTCAAACCATATGGATCACCTCTAAACCTGAATCTCAGTAGGTAACTTGTACCATTTATTTTTAGACCTAAATTACCACTGTAATGTTTAACATTCACTTTTTTTTTTATTTATCAACAGTTATCTTTTAACCATTTAAAACTGAATGCACCGTCCTGTTCATTTCTCGAGTATATTATTCAAAAAAATTAAGTAAAAGTTATTATTAACCAAATAGTCAATAAAATCAGCTCCCTTGTCGCATTTTAATAAGATGTAGAGGGTTTTCTTTGCATCTAAATCCATATTCAAAGCCTTCACTGTCTGTTATACGTTACAAAGATGTTCAAATTTATGGTAAACATTGCAGCATACTGAACAACATAAAGTATAGCAAATAAAAATAATTAGCGTTAAAGTTTTGGATATTTCAATTTTTTTCAGCGTCTCCTTGTAAAGTTGCAACGAGCTTAGCAGCTAGACAGTGTTGGACGTGTTTTTCAATTCCTCTTTTTTTTTTTATGAGATTTTACCGCACTAGTGGCTGGGACTAAGGCCTCCATACTTGGGTCTTAAGCACTAACCACTGCGCCACCAAAGCACGCCCAATATATATATATATATATATATATATATATATATATATATATATATATATATATATATATATATACACATATACATAAATCATTCTTTTTCAGGTGCTTATTATTAGGAAGGGTCGGCTAATATTAACAAAAAATAATGATCAATTAACATCGTATAATCTTACAACAAATATATCAAAGTATAACAGCTGCAGTCTTTAGCCAACATATTGTACATAACCAGCTTCCTTCACTCATCACAGCAAGATGTAAAAGCTGTCGCTAATGATGGAGTCTTAGACCAGCAGTCTCAGTCTCCAGTCTTTAGGGCATCACTAAATGTGAGGTCTAAAGTCTTTTATTTTTGATTGACTATGCCATGTGTTTTGTCTTCAACTTAATAATTCACATTTAGCCTAATAGCACTGGGGGTATATGGTGAACATGTGTGGATTCGAGAAAATCTGCATCAGTTTCAAATCTGAGCACCAATCCAAAAACCACTGAAGTGTTATATTAAATTTGAAAAAGGAGGTTTAAAGTTTATGTGAACCTCCAGACTGACAATTTACTCCCACAGCGTTTTAGCCCCGAATCTATTCGTGTCAAGATGTTTACATCACAATTTTATGATCAACAACGTTGTTTGTAGAGAGTTAACTCAAACCTCTTCATGTTTATGGGAGCGGTTTTTATCTTTTGGTCATCAAGTAGGTTTTGTGGAATTGAATCTCTGCATTTATACAGCGATTTCCAGATGGAGAGCCTGTGTACAAATGTCTTCACACTGCAGTTTTCTCTCTTGGTAATGACAGAGGCTGAAAGCAAACTAGTTATAAGGATCAGATTTTATTAAAATTTAAAATTTTACTCTTTTACACCCTACGAACATAATCCAGAAACATCTCTTCTCCAGTTTGGGAAAATACATCAGCAGGACTTTACTGCAGAAAACTGTCATTTCAGCCATCAATGATATTGTTTTACGACTTAGGTTGAGCAATTATTTCAACATGTGGTTGCTTTAGGTCTCTCCTTGATGTTGAGTTTAAAGTAAGAAAAATGATCTCTGATTCCTGTAAATGTCAAAGTAAAAAGTCTCATAAACCATTAATGGTTTGCTCAGTTTAAAAGGACAGTGGGATCTTTGGAAGTGGGTTTCTACAAATATCTTCCTTGCTGTAGTCAGCTTGCTTAAAATGTTCATCTTGGACAGACACCAGCGTTGCGTACCAGGTGCTTTAAAGCCTAACCTCAGACACCTTCTTATTGCTTTCACAAGATGTGTGCAAAAACTGAAGAACAGCATCAGGTAATGTAATCACAGAGCCAAATAGGCAGGTAACTGTCATGTGGAGCTTTATCACAACTAAAGGAGCTGCAGTCACTCACCATTGCTACGATACCATTGTTATAATAGAAGTATGTTTTGTCCTACAGACTCAAAGCTCTCCAAGCTTACCTGCTGTTGTTACCATCCATCCTACCCCCCAAAGATATAAGGTCTGACATGGGGTGTTTCCTGAAAATCCTCATATTTCCTTAGATAAAATAGAGGTCTCTGCAACTACACCATCAGTTTTACTGTTGCTCTGATAAAATATTATTTTCCTTAGCTTATCAGAGCATGAAAAAATGGAGGTGAGTGTGGTTTGAGCATGTCAGACATTTTGCATCTAAACTGAAATCTGAAATAAACATGTCCTCTTCGAGTATCCTAGCAGCCAGCCTTTATGTGTATTTTGGAGATGTGTGAGCTTGCTCCTAGCCTGGAGTCCGATTTACAAGCAAATACAGCAGTGTTTCCCAACCTTTTTTTACTTGTGTACCCCTTCAGGCATTTAGTCTTACCATGAGTACCCCTCTCAGTCAAAAGTACTGATGATTGTCCAAAAGTGGGACGTACAATTACTGAGATGAAAACTATTTCAACACTGATCTCTGCGAGAAGTAGAATGGAGAGATATAGAAGATCTTTTGTCCCAACAGCCATTAGTCAGTTTACTGTTTTTATAATTTTATGTTTTCCATCTCAAATAAAAAAAACAAAAATTTGTTGCCTGAAATTTAGTAAGGAATCAAAATAAATACAAAATAAAATCATATTATAAATCTGTATTTATAAAACTGGAGCTCCTCTGAGTAACTGCCTGATAATCACATTTAAGCTTGATGAATTGAGAACAAAATGCAGAACAACAATTATAGTCAGACTAACTTAATTAGTTTTACTTTGTTTTCATCAAGACACCTGAGCTGTTTTGATGAGCTCAGTGGTCAGTGTGAAAAACAGCCAGACTGTTCCTCTGTTTGGTTTGGATGTGGGTCACAGCTCATGATGAACTCAAACATATAAGAAAAACTTAGTTTTTGGTTCATAAAAGCTTGTTTAATTTTTCAGAAAGCAAAACAGATCCCAGCCCTATTTTATTTTACTATCTAAGAATTAAAATATTTTCATGTCCCCTTTGTTGTTTTTGCTTTGTGTCAGAGAAATCCTGGGTTATTTGTTTTAGTTACTTGGAGAGAATAATTTTGTTACAACCAGAGGAGCAGCAGGATGAGGTCATTAGCAGCAACTGATAACTTGGAGTGTTGTAGATGTGACACTGGAGGGCTTGGATGTAGTCTTTACATGCGCCCAGGATGGTCAACATGGCTACCAATTTAATGAAGACCAAAGCATACAGGTGCATGCTTCCTAAATGGTACTAAGCAGCAATTACTGCTAAGCACAGTGGAAGAAGTTCCCTTTGAATGAACTTCTTGAGTGAACATCTTTTTTTCCCAATACATATTTCAGCTCATTACAATGGATCATAACCCTGGGTTTTGTTGTTTTAGAACAATAAATGTTCTCTTTGTACTGCAAATATTCTATAGCTTAAGCCTCTATCCTCACTAACACAAGGTAAGAGAATTACAGGATCCATTAAGCCACAAACATGAACCCCTGCATGGTGCTTTAGTAGGTTTATCATTAAAAAACAAAAATGTTATGTATCTTTATGTAACTTCAAGACACCAACAGTTCTGCACAGTTGAAACCTACTTGTTCCTCTGCATCGAAGTCTGCGTTGTACTGGCCCATTTCCTCAGGCGGCCTCTTCTGGACCAGACTGCGACACAGCAGCCAGATGGCCAGGCCGACCATGAACATGCCGATGTCAGGGATAAACACTCGGATGCCGTTCCCTGCATCTGCGCCAATAACACTAGGACACAGAGGAAATAAAGGAAACTCGCTAAGAAAAAGCAGATGCATGTTTCTTGAAAGAAGTGATGACATTGTATTCCAGGATAAAACCACCATAACTGTCCTACAGTATAACAACCACAAACTTCTATTTATAAAATAGATCAAAATAACACAGTAGGTCATTGTAAAGTGGATGGAAAGTTATATGTATCTTTAAAAAAAATACAAATGTAAAGTGTTGATACTATAGTGACTATCGAACACCTTTTAATCTTAGTATTAACACGCTTAGTATTAACACGCTTAGTATTAACACGCTTAAAAAATGATGTCCAGCCTGGGAGATAAGTTATGGGAAAACACAGCGCAATTCAACAAACATCAATTCAGGGGCCCCAAAAATGTGTAGAACCAAGCAGTGAGTTGCTGAGATGTTTCCCTTAGTTCCTGAGCTTTCTCCTGAAGGATGAGTGAATGTTTCTCTGTTAACTCTTCCTCCTGCAGGGCAGGTTTCTCTTGCCAGCGATGCCGCAGTGCAGTTTCTCTAGCTCTTCTTAGTGGTTTGCCTGGACCTCTGATACAGCATTGATGAGGCCTTGTGAACTCTTCTGAGTTCAAAAAGGAAGTGGAGCTTCAGCAGAAGTTTTTTGCAACTTTTTTGCAAGTTCCTGCTTCATATTTTCTTCATTTTGTTATAGCTTTTTGTTCAAGTTCTCCTGAATTACTTTTTGCTTCACGTTTTACATCTTTGTTTCCTCTTTTTCCATCTTCCATCTCATATGTAGCGCTTTTTAGCTGGAGTTTATGAGCAGCCTTTTTTATCATGCAACTGTTTCTTAAGGCACATTTGCTCCCCTAGATGTTTTTGTTGTTCTGCTGCATATATCCTCTCCTTCTCTAAGAGCTTCTCTTTGATTTCTTCTGAGTCTGCATTTCGTGGAGCATCTTCTCTTTTTTCTGACATGTGTTGTTGGCGATTTTCAACTGATCCTTCAGATCTGCCAAACTCTTCTGACACTGATCCTCTTAGGCCTTATTTAACTGAGCATGAGCTTCCTTCAAGCTTGTGTTTTCTTGTTGAGTTTGCAATAAACTCTGCTGCAGCTCTTTAATCTCCCTAATCTTTACTCCTAGATTTTGTGCTGTGGAATGTTCTTTCTTATGTACGGTTTGCTCTCTAAAAAGTTCTTCAAATATATTATTTTCCCTCAGAACAATCTTCAATGCATTAAAAGTTTTAAAAGTTGCATGCTTAAAAGTTTTTTCTATCTTTTCGATAAAAATGCTGATGTTTGGTGGGGGTGCATCTAGGCATAATCGGAGACAATGACACACGAAGTGTGCTCCTGATGTCCAGTCTGCTCCGTAGCTTTGTTTTGGTCGCTGTAACCGCAGAAAATCCCGCTTCACAAAGATAGGATGTTATAGATAGGATGAGTCTTGAACTGAATCAACCTGTGTCAAGAGGCACAGATGCACCGACTGATGTTATTTGGAAACAATACCGCAATTTTTTTATATTTTTCAAAATAAAACATCACTCAGACTCTGATTATATATATATATATATATACACTTTTTTCTGTGCGGCCCTGTACCAAATGACCGACGGACCGGTACCGGTCCACGGCCCGGTGGTTGAGGACCGCTGGTTTAAAGGATCCGGAAGCAGCAGTTTCCAGAAAAATTGTGGTGCATTCATGAAATCTACCCTTTATTGGAAAACTGGCCAAAGCAACCTAATAAGTCCAGTTTAAATTGTTCCTAGCAAGGGGTCAGAATAAACATAAAATGTTTGTTTTTTTTTCATATGAAAAAAAAAAACACTCACTGTGGCAGAAAGCATTGTCTGGAACAAAATTTATATGAAGCGTAAACAGAGTTAACAGAAAAGATGGAGGTGGAGGGCTTTTTTAGGGGCAGTCTTTGAAAGAACACTGTTAGATGCTGCAACAAACTGCAACAAAGCCCCACCTTAACTGAACCCTAAAAACAGATAGCTCACACAGGCTGTTCTCTCATGGGAACAAATATGAAAGTAGCAATTATATCACTCAGAAAACACCACAGAATACACGGGAATCTGGAGTTTTCCGCTACTTAATTGTTCTTTTAATGTGTGCTGTGCTGAGTGCTTTACATTTTATATGGAGTACCACCCTGTGTAATAAAGTTGGGCTTGCTGCTTTTAAACTTATTGCTGTTGACTGAAATTCCATAAAACAAAAACAACTCATGAGAAAGTTTATTTGGTTGTTTTTCTCAAATCAACTTAGATCAAAAATAATTTTTACTAACTAAAGAAATATGTATCACAGGTTAGCTCCAATGGCTAGAAACTCATTGGGCTTTTGATTCAACAATAAAAAAAAGATAACTTTTAAGATTTTTGTCAGCATTGTTGTTAGGTTTATCTCCTCCTACCTAACTAAACATCAAGAGAATTATTCAGACGAGAGGCCAAACACTATCTGCACAATGTTGCTATGACAGCTACCATAATATCAGATTCATATTATCCACTGTGATGTTTTTATACTGCCTGAGGACACATTTTACAAGGTGTCATGATTGCATGGGCAATTACAGCAAATAAAAACTGTCCTTGAAATGGCTTACAGGTTTCCGAACCTTTAGAACGCTCTCTTTTTAATCAGCCAAACTAATTTCTATTTCAGTTTTATTGCAATCAAATTGCATCCTGTGTTTGGCCACCAAAGTGTTTTTCTTTACATTTCACGCTGAGCTCCAAGTGTAATTAAACAGTTCCCAATAAAATATACTGGTAACTCTGGAGCAGCAGAGAGGATTTGGCTGCAGTTATAAAGCAACTGGTCATTTCAAACAAAACCAATCTCACGCTGGCCTAGAGTGGAAATAAGGATTGTTAAAGTTGAAAACAGAGTGCTAATCGTCATGATGGAAAATGCACACTCGGAACAAAAAACTGTTTGGGCATTTGGCTGCTGTTGGAGAGTTTAATCTAATCAAGGACGACTGTTTCCATGCGTTTTATTGTTGAGAAGCTTAGCACATCCTCACACGGATGAAAGAGATGGAAACCATCAGAGCCGCACAACACTGAGGCGGCAACTTTAATGACTCCTACTTTCCTCCGCTTATTATGTGTGGGAACTAGAAAACATCAGCAGAGCCTCAGGCTGCAGACAGATTCATAGAAAAACTGCCAGTTATGACAGTTCAATGTATTTTGCAACTCTGATAAGTAGTTGACACTGAAAACAGCTTGAACAAAGTAATTTGTTTTAACATTAAAGAAAATATTGTAGGGAAAAAATTTTTGTTATAACACACTGAGCTTTTAATTTACATACCTGATTATTTAAAGTAGCAGAGAGATCCCATAAATTATGTGAAATAAAAAAATTGAAATAAATTCAACTTTATTGATCTAACAATGGAGAAATTAACTTCCTGCATTTAACCCATGCCCGGAGAGCAATCAGGGGTTAAGTGTCTTTGCTCAGAGACCCCAGAGTGGCAGTATGTGGGGGTGCAAGCCCTATGCCCTAACCGCTACACCTCCACTCCCACTCTTTAAGCATGTTAAGCTCACACTAAAACTTTGATGTAATATTTCTTAAACTAGAAAGGACATCATTTCCATCATGTAGGCTTGATTTCTTCTAAAATTGATATAGATTCAATTCTAAAAGCGAATAGACCTGTGTATGTTACAAATAACATCCAAACATCAAAAACACTAATACAACTACTGCTACAATAATACACAGGTGATGAATGGACAGTTTTGTGTAGGATGTAAATGCAGAGTTGAGAATAACCCTTAAAGCTCAAACAAAATGGTAAAAAATATTCACCACTAAAATAAACTAGAGCTCCAGATCTGTGGAGGTATATAGAAGTAAAAAAGAAAGGAAAGATCAGAGTATTAAAGATAGTCCATTCATTCGTCACTAGCCTTCATACAAACTCCACCAAAGAAGTTTAAAGAATGTCAAAAAGGTAAAAGTTTTATATCTACTGGAAATCATTTATCATTAAGATGAACTTTAAATCTGAATAAGAATTAAGATTGAATCCGATATTGTTGGAATCTTTACATCTACCAATTTGGTAACTATAGATGCAGTGATTGTGTTTTATGGGGCTTTGTCTGTAGTGACAGGCAGTCATAGTTACAAAATATTACCAAAAGAAAATTGGATGGATTTTTAAATATATTTATACATATATTTATATACTTTTGATACCTCAATTTTGATCACTTATGCAATTAGGATACTCTGTTTTCTGCCCTGCCATTACAAGCGTAACTGTGAAGTTAGCTTTAGTACAACTGAGATTGTAACCGTGGGTCTGTGTGGGAGGGACTGGTTAAAGCAGGGCATACGCTGTACAAATTTTTTAATCGTTGTACGCAGCTACAACTCACACTGTATGACAAAATCGCAGGGTTTAGAAGTTCACAGCTTGCGATATATGTTCTCACACTGTGCAGCCCGACGCTCTGATGCGATCCACCTGCTCACACTGTACGTCTAAAAACCACGTCGGACTCAATTCCACAGTTAGATGGCGCTACTTTGACTTGTCTGTCGATGCTTCCTGTTAAATATGAAGCTCGTTTGAGTAAAACGCGCTGCCTTGGCAATTTGTGCAATTTTGTGTGCTGAAATCCCTAAAAAGAAAAGGCGAAAAATTATGGCTGAGCAAACATGGTTACTACGGTTTGTCAATTTTACAGAAAGAACTTCATTTCATTTGCACCCCCACCATGCTTCTGTGTTTTCATCTGAGAGGAAGAAGAAGAAGAAGGAGAACCCTTGATTGGAGAAGCATCCCGCTGCAGCCTGCGGGAAGGCAGGGCTTGACATCAAGCCCCGCCCACATCAAGGACAGCCATATTGGAAATGCTGACGTAACAGGGCAGGGAACCACATAGACATATAAGATGATATATATATAAAGATATATGTAAAGATATGTTTTCATCTTAATTGTGAAAAGTTATCCCTCGAGCCATGACGTCAATTGTCCATCAATTTAAACAAAAATACGTGCAGTGCTGAGACATCATTAGTGTGTTCAGCTTGAATCAGCAGGTTTGAGTAGCAGGTCAACCGCCCCAATATGGCAGCCGTAATTCCTGCGCTGCGACAGCCAATGCGGGGTCTACTCATATTATATTATTATTTGAACTTCAGCACCAGCAAGTATGTGGTTATATTGCTTTTCTTAATCAACGCTGGAGATAGGCACGAGCAACCCCCACGACCCCATGAGGGATTAAGCGGGTCAGAAATTTGATGGATAGATTTTTTCTTAATCTGCGATGGACTGGGAATTTGTCCAGAATCCACTGCACCAGCCCTAACGACACCACTATAGGGATAAGTGTGCGTGTATGATAATTATTGGATAGATAGATGTGTCCTCAATGTAATGTACATTTGTCTCTAAACTACCAATCTAATTTACATTTTATGAAGTTTGTTTGTGATAGGGTTTGAGGATAGATAAATACATCTTTATAATAATTCCTTATTGTTGTTTATTTTAGACTGTTTGTTACTAATGTTATTTTAACATCTGAAAATTTAATAAAGATTTAAAAATAAAAAGGACATACCACGTGACAGACATACCATGTGACATAACACATTTTTTTGGCCATTTCTCTCGCCAGTGCCTACTGTATAGGCAAGAGCGGTCAGCATTTCCAATATGGCATTTCCGCAGGCTGCAGCGGGATGTACTTGCTTGATTGCGCATACTCACTGAGCAATTTGCCCACGACCACCTTACGACGGCCGACAGAATTTCAAGCAAGTTTTTTTTTTTTTTTTCGACCTGATGATTCCTGATAGGAAGGTGGTCATGATAGGCGTTATGCCCCATACACTACATGATGCACAATGCATGATCAGGCTGAAAGTTGGCCGATCGAAAAATTCTCGCACGACTGGAGAATCAGCCTGAAAAGGGCAAAAAATCTTACAGTGTATGCCCCTCTTAAGTCAGATGAAACTTACAATGACCTTTTCTGAAAAAAAACTCTAATTCTGTCTTGTTTGAAATCCCAGGATGACCTTGGATCCACTGTTAGTGAACAGTGGGAAGATGCTGATGCTTGAAACCTTTAAAATACTAAAAAACTTGAAAAAAGGTGACAGAAAAGGTGGATTTTGTCAGGAAAATTAAAATTTAATGGATTGCCATGGAGTCTTTTGGCAGAATCATTTTGCAATATTAACAAAGATGAAAACAGAAATGGATCCCACAACTTAAATCATAAAGAAAATCCTAGGTGTAAGATAATAAAGTAATGTTTCAAATCTGAGAGACGGTGGGAACTAAGAGGACTTGTGCTGAGTATGAATTGAGTGGCTGCGTATTCCGAAAGCCAGATTAGGAGGATGATTACGTCATAATGCGGCGCTGAGGCCTGTTTGGATTGGAAGACTCCTCCTAGTGTGACTGACAAAAGCATGGGAATTAATTTTGTGTTCATATTTTTTTTCATTTACTTCTTAACCTGGTATATTCATTTTTTAACTGATTAAATGAACAAGACTAGTGAAGCTAATCTGTAGATTACCAATTCAAAATACTTCAGAGGACAAACAAAAACACATTAAGTTTAAGTTAGCTTTTTTTTTAAGTTGAGATAGGAATTATGCTTCTGCAATAAAAAATTATTTAATCTAAAGCTTTTTACAATCCCTATCACATGTGCTGATATGCATGTATTGGTAATAATAAATAGAAAACGCCCTACACAGAAACATAGTTCAAAGGATATGTAATATTTTTCAACAGGTTAGATTTCATAACCAAGAAAAATGAAATAATATAAAAAATAAAGGAATACACAAAAAAGCAGCTGTGAAGCCTCTGCTGGCTTCATGTGACTTGAGCAAAATTTTTCTTCGGGGTTTAAAATGTAGCCATTACAGCAGTAAATACTGTATATGCACTACATATGATCCTCAGCACAAACAGGTAAATGTAGGCAGGAGAAAATGTTTATGGGTCTACTTCCGCCACTTAACTGTAGAGTACACAATCTAGCCAGGGATGATGAGTGCTGGAAAAAGGACGAGGCTGTGTTTCGGACATTCCCGTACTTACAGACCGCATTTAATATGATCAAGGGGATGTGCTAATGCAGACGCAAACAAAAGCCTTAAACTACAGACCCTTCAGTTCAGTGTTAGGGGTTAACTGGGCTTTAAATTTATTAGGAATCCACAAAGGAACAGGTTAGGAGGTAGTGAGAAGATAAGCCAGTGTGGCTACATGCAAAAAGGGGTGGTTAATGTTATTGGGAGGCAGCTATGTTTACAATACCTTGTGTAGCCTTTTTAAAAAGATGGCAGCTGTATAGTTTATGTTAACTTGGATTATTAAGTGTGTTCTCAATAAAAATAAATTCAATCCACAGTTCAGCTTGTAAAGTCTACTTTCTGGCTGAATTTAGCCAAAACCATACATAGAAATCCTTAGCTTTATAGGAGGTGCACCCTCGCAATTATTGCCTGTTCACAAGTAACTTATGTAAGGATATTGGGAAAAAAGCAGCATTTTCATGTAGCTTAATTTGAAGTAAGTATTACCAGACTGCTATGAAAATCACTTGTTTTGGATCATTAAATGAAAAAAATATGTGTGCCTTTTATAAGAACATAGGACATAAAATCCCTAAGAAGCAGCCCATATAACCAAAGCCTGTACATTTAGAAGGGTTTGTTTACATGCTCAGATTTTACTACCATTTGCAACCTCACATTAAAAAGTTAGCAAATAATGCAAAATATCTACATCCAAAACAACAAATATTAGAAGAAGAAAAAAAAACAACAACAAAAAAACATTCACACAATCTTAGCAGACTTTTGCGTAAAAAATATTTTATCTTTTTTTTCATCTCATCTTGTGTAAGCTTGTAAGCTTTAATTTGACTATTTGCTTTGCTGCTAACACACCTGGATTTTCCCTCCATGGGACAATAAACTACATTTCTATCTTATTTTTGTGATGTTAAATGTTAATGTCTTACCTTTCAAAGCCAATCTGTCGTATGGATCTCTCCCATGAAGAACCTATGACAAATAATATGAAATGATTCAGTGTAAATATATCAGTTCCAATGAAAAAGACAATTGCAACAACAGTTATTTTACAGACTGTACAAGTGACAGATGAATTTTCAACAACAAAAAAATGCATTAAAATCAGCATTCAGAGTGCAAAACAGAGGGCCTTCTCTGAACATGTAACACATCGAACCTTGAAGGAGCCATGTGGTCTTTGACCCTTGGTACAAAAACTACTTGAACACTGTTACTGCCCATAGCTATAACAAGTAAATTTGATATACTTTGTGAAACATTACAGTTGGTTGAATCTACTCCAGTTGCCTCAACGATCACCACAGCACAATCCACCAAACACCTTTAGATGTGCTGAAACAAGAGAGTTGAATCATAGGTGTGCAGCCAACAAATTTGCAGTAACTGTGTGATTTCAGGATATGATACAAATGTCTAAAGAATGTTTCAGATACCTCACTGTTTCTATGCAGCAAATAATTAAGGGAGTTCTGACACAATAAAAGGCCTTTATGCAGCATTAATGCTCAACATTTCTTTAAGGAATCCAGGGTGTTCAATTTATTGCTGATTTTAATATTTTTGGTGCTTCTTTTCACAGGCATAGGAAAAATAATGCATTGTTGGTTCAGTGGAAGAATTATTAGGTGCTTAACTTTACTGAAGTGAGGTTTTGGGTTTACAATGTGTAGAGAGGACAATTCAGGTGTTAAATAGTCTTAGAAAGATATTACAGACAAAGCACTTCATCTCACTGAGTTTATCTGCTGTTTTACAGGAGTGGAAGCTACTGCTACTTTTTTAGGGGCCGATTGTAAAGTTAACAACTGTAAAAGAAGTCCACTTTCAGAGGGGACAGAAAAAGTTCATCATGGATCGCTCGATAGCTTCAAAGAATTGAAACAATACAGATAACAGCTTAGTTTGCAAGTTCCTGATGGACAGAGCAGAAGGACAAAACTAAGGTTTAACCACAAAAACAAAAAAGACACATATTAATGCGCTTTTCTCCAGTCAGAACACACAGCTGCACAGCTTTATTGCAATGCAGTACTGTTTAGGATGTCGTAAAGTATTTAAATGGAAAGATACTGAATAACAATGCATTGCTTTAATGTACCATACTGAAAGTCTATACAATCTTTAACTAGAGTATGTTACCTGACATTATGCATGACAAACCCTGCTCAGACTAAAGCTCTGCAAACTGATAAGAAAACACTAGACAGGCAGTTTTATTGTCAAATACACCTAATTTCCCTCCTCAGCTGTTTGGAAATAGAAAGTAATACCTGTGTCAGAATCACAATAGTTCCTCGATCCAAAATCACATAAACACTGATGTCAAAGCAAAGAAGAATACGTGTTCATTGTCAGTTTTCTGCCAGATTTAGAAAGCTAAAGTCAGGGATTATGGATTATTTTTTACTAGTCGGACGCAATTCAATATTTAATTGAGTTAATTAGATGGTAATTAATTAATCGCAAATAATTACATTACAATCAAAAACCATATATTGACAAAATAAACTAGCTTTTCAATTAAAAAACCACTTTTCTCCTCAATTATTAAATGAATAATTATAAACATACAACAACATGTATGCATTTGGTTGTTTAATCAAACTGTTTAAGTTATTCAACCATCAGAATGGTTGAAAGTTATAATATTTTAGCTTTTTAACTTTTTTCTTTAAGAAACCCCAGATATTTTTTGGAGACTCTTTGAATTTTTTTTTATAAAAACAATATTTAGAAATATGAGCTGTTCATGAACATTAATCATAGCCCTATACCATTGTAACAACAAGGCCTGCCATCTTACCGGTAAAGAGAAGATAAGGTTCCATTTCTAATACTGAAAGACCAATTCAGTCCAGCTTTGTATAGAGCATTGCCTTTAGGAGCTAAACAATTACTATTCAATGACGAGCAATTAGAGCAGTTGAAACAATAACCACTGAGGCTTCTCGTTTTTAAGTTTGAATATCCCTGTTGGGCAAACGCCTGTGATGCAGCTTATGTGTCGTATTTAACAGTGTACAGAAACCAGTTGTTTTCCCGCTTGGGACTAAAATGCAATTCATTTCATTAATTTTTTTAACATGTTAAAATATTTCTAGTTAATCACTTAAAAGGAATGCGTTAAAATACCAGCAGCCCTAGTTTTTCATATATGGTACAAACAATGATACATGCAGATTGAAAGGAAGTAGTATGTTAAATTTTGCCATGCCTAATTCAGATCATTTTAATGATATTAACTGTACAAATACACAAAAACGTTATGACATATGTATAATTTCATTGGCCTATTTTGCATACCTTCTTACAATAACATCAATGTGTATTTATAAAAGTTTCTGTAGGCAAAGATCTTAAATTCTAGCATTTTATTAATATTGTATGTGCCAAGTCTTTTTATATGAATTCCATTTTTCCATTTTTGGAACATCAATGTTAAGTAATTGAAAACATGGGTGAAATCTACAGTGTTTGGTGTTATTGTAAAAGAAAGCTTTTTTCATACTTTCCTTTCATTTCATTTTAGCTTTGTTTATAGGATCTTAGAGTATTTTAGCTATTCTTATGTTACCTATTTACCCTATTTTTAAATACGGAAATAAATGTGTCAAAATGTTTTCATCAGTAGCTCTATAAAGATATATAAAGATATAGGCGACTCGCCTATATCTTTTTCTAATGAAAGAATAATGATTTTACATATTTGTATGTATTTCTTTTGGGGTGGGATGGGGATTCACAAACCATTTAGGATTCAGTGGCCATAAATCAACAAACTCTGATAAAATATATAACAATCAGGCAACTTGAGTGGCTAAAAACAACCAACAGCATTTCCCACATGTCAGCACTATAATGCACAGTTCCCACACTGCTAGAGGAAGAGAACATATTCTATGCATCATAACATTGTGAAATTTCTTTGGCTTTATTTGACTCCTATTCTAAAAATAAAGCACATCATTAATAAGGGTGATATACAGGTTTTGTGATAGATGCATACTTATTCAGTATTAGAACAACATGTGTTTGTTGACATGACTCAATTCATAGTACTGGCGCCTTGGTGGGCACCTCACTAGCTATAACTGTTAACAAGGGATAGATGATTAGTAATCAAGACCAGATGCAACACTGGAGTAGAAACAAGGTTGGTAGACACAACATGCAAACAGACAAAAGTAACACATGAATAAAATCAACCTCAGATTATAAAACAACTATGGCTGAAACAATTAATCGGATTTATTGTTGTTAATCAATAATTTAAAAAAATCGTTCAGTAATTTACTTATCAATTAATCATTAACTGGAGTATAGAGCCTCTAAAACATGAATTTAGCTGACAGAGCAACCTGCTTAGAGCAGTAGTTATATCAATATTGTAAAAAAAACATATATATAAATGTACATATATATATATATATATATATATTTTGCATTTAAGATAAAATAAAAACATTTTTGTCTGTCAATATGCTCTATCCAAAAATCTTCAAGATGAAAATTTTTTGTTTCACCTGGTTTAATTTCTTTAAAAGTCTTCTTTAAGAACCTTTGGCTCTGCAATTATTAATTGATTAATTGTAAAAATAATGAACAGATTAATCGATTTGCAAAATAATCGATTGTTGCAGCTCTAAAAACAACCAAAAAGCCATAGAAATACACACAAAAAAACAAAAACGGAGCAAAAATACAAATGAATAAATCCAAAAACAGTTTCATTGTGAAAAAAAAATTAAATAAATAAAAAAAAGATCATAGGAGGCGTTCTTAAGCAATACTGAACATCCAAACTGCTCTGGGTGCTTTAACTATAGCTGCCCACTGCTGTTGGTTTGTCATTCTCCTAAACATGTATACAATATTCCTCAATACTGTTTGCACAAATTCAGTAGGGTCAAATGCAAAGCTCAAATTTCTGTAACTTTCAACCTTTACATATTGCAGATGTTTAGTTTATGAATTTTACGCTTTGCTAAAGTTGGGAGTTTTTAGTCTATTTAGTTTTGTTTTTTTCCAAAGATTGGTCACAATCTGAAGAAATTGGGACTTCGGTTGCTCAAGGGGGACTAGAGCGGTGTGTGGGTGGGCGACAAATGGCTTGTTGTGAAATTTAAAAGGGAAGAAACATCTGTGAAGGGAGGAGGCTTCATGACTCATCCCTGACATCAAGCACTTCACCCAGAGTCAAGCTGAGCTAAGAGTTATCTGTCCACCTCCACACAAG